TATTAAAAATAAATTAAATAAAATAAATTTAATCTTTTTTATATAGTGTTCGAAAAGGTTCATAGTGTTGTTTTTATTTTCTTGTAAAATAATGCTAATAAAAAAAGGTGAAATATTTTTAAATATATAACAATTATAGTTAACATTTAGCAATCGTTTAGTATTCATCTAGTTTTTTTCTTTTCAACTATTTTCTTATTAATCCTTACCATCACTTCACAGATATTTCCACGATCTATCTTAATTATCAGTACATGCTCAATTACGGGTATGTAAGCGATCCCATATATACATTAATATTTAAAAATATGTATATATGGTGTATAGATGGGTCTTATGAGAATAGCTGAGCTTGATGAGTCCTAAATAAACCCCAATGACAAAAAAATGAAAGATTGGTCAGGTCCATTGAAATTTTACTAATGACTTTTTGGGATTAAAGAGAATTTTTCTATCAAAAAGAAAGGGAGAAAAAGGGAAACTATTAAGAAATAGTTGAGGCAAATAGCTAATGAAATATTTTTTTTGATATTTTCTATTTCCATGAATTACAAATGTAGATGATTATATTCTCTAGTAAATAACAAGTTTTCTATAAATAGAGTTTTACTTGTAATATAATTATTTTACTAAAATTCTGCTGATACTTATCATGTACCACTTGAAGAAAATAAAAAATAGGGACAATATACAAAATTTTATAAGTTTTTTACTTTATTAAGTTATGGCCATGGTGCCTTCAAAAAAATAACAAGTTCAAGTGTTCAAGATATCATCTACATATTAATAAGGAGGCTTCTTTTAGTTGAGGCTATAATTCAAATGGCAAGACTTAAACATAGACTTTTTACAGAAGTTTTTAAACGTAATTAGGTCTATTAACAGTTATTCATTATCAGGTTAAAACCGAAGAGTTATATACGTGAAAGTGGTATTCTAGATTTTTTTTTTTAATACACTGTTAATCACTTTATTTGTATTACAGTCATATGGTAGTGACCCAAAATTATAGCATCATGATTAATGATATCATTACGAGGTGATATTTTTATTATTTTCACGGTAAAACACTTTTTATATAAAAAAAATCAAGTAGTGCTAAATCTATTGAGTGGAGAATCAACGCATCGATTAAATTGTGGGGTCAGGGTGTTCAGAGGAGCAGAAGTCTATGTCTTTGATCTTAAGGACAGTTTGATTATCTTAATCTCATATATAAGACAACGTTTGAGATGTTTTATAATTATTTATCATACGCGGGAAGTTGAATATATTGCTCGATAGTAACTTTCTGTATAAGTTTTATTTCAAGACCATCTTTGGTTTTATAAAAAGTTTTAAATGGTCTTAAATTTTTTATGTTTTATATGCGAAAATAATAGGTTGAAGCAAATTTAAAGGATCATATTTATAATATGGCTCAAAACAACTACTTGTGAGAAAAATTTATCAACAAGAGAGTGAGTTTACTTTATGAAATATAGATCATATATGCTTGTGATTTGTATTCTACAAAACCTCTGTTTCAACAGTTTGTTCAAGATCGTTTTCCACTTGTTGAGCTGTACATAATACGATAACACAATTGACTTAGGTGTAACACGAGAATCAATGTTATAACTTAACTTAATTTAACTATGGGTGTGAATACTATAACAACAAGGAAGTTACTTCATTTTGTAGAACGGAGGTTATATATATCGGTAGATACTATATTGGTACAGAACGTCAATACAGTCTTTAAGAGACTTAAATTTTCTTTGTAGGAGTATTTAAATGGCTTTAATCATCTTTTCAGGATTTATTTGGGAACACAAATGGGTTGAGTGGAACCAGGGAATTGACGTTATTCCGTTAGATGCGTATTTGAGTGAAGATTGTAACAAGAAGTGGGTGAGTTCACTTTGTAGAATGTAGGTTATATGTTATATACTCGGGACATATAAAGAACGGTTTTTGCTATCTTTGACTATGTAAAATTATCTAGTTGGTTTTATATGGGAAAGTTTTTAAGTTTTATATGGGAAGAGTATAATAACAAGAAAGTGAGTTCACTTTTTAATGCGAAAATTTCAATGTCTAATTTATTTTTTCTGCTAAATAGAATTTTGGACTTTTATTGTGGTACTATACATATATGAATGTTTCCTAAAGTAAAGTTCCTATGTTAAAGTAAAGTTTATATACTTGTTTATTTTTTTTTTAACTGATTTAATTCTATTCTAACTATTGTTGTTGTTATTCAGTTATTTGAATTTTCTTGTAAAATGGGCGGAAATGTTTAATTGCCATACCAATGCATAATATCATTTTAAACAAATTATAAGTTCAACTTAAACTTTTTAAATTATATATAAAAATTACAAAATTAATTCCTTATATGTTTATTTTATTTACCACTATTTTTAAATTCTTATATGTTAATTTTATTTACCTTTATTTTTAAATTCTTACTCGTATTATAGCAATAACATCTTACATCAAGGTTTTTGTTTATAATTAGTTTCCAGTTCTTAATATAGTAGAGTAGCAGTGCTTCTACTACATATCTTTTATTTTGTTATTTTTATAAGCGTTAAATTTTTATTTCATTTTATTAATTAATTTAAATTTTTTATTGTATGTTTTTTTTTTGTTAATTTTAAAATATGTGCATTGAAGCTTTAATTTCATTGTAAAGTGCGCATTTATTTTTCTCTCTTGTTTTTTTTTTGTTGCTTTTATTTGAGTATTATTTTATTTAATTTGATTTTTCTTTCATTTCATATTTTTTCATATTTTCTTTTAATTAAAAAATTTATATTAAAATTCATAAAACGAAATAAAGTTAACTACAGCACAACCGAAACAGTATACGTACTCCAGTCCACATTAATTTTACTTGCAGTAAATTTGAAACGCCCAAAATCCAGACTAAACCCATAATGCCGCTCAAGGAATCTAAAATGAGGCACAATTAGAAAATTGAGTGAAAGAAAAAAATTTAAATAGAAGATATTAAAAAATTAATTAAAATTGCACATATTTGAATTATACAGATACACACGCACACACAATCCAGCCTGAAAAGTTTAATAATTATGAATTTATTTTGTATGAAAATCAATTTTAAATTCAAATCAAGAACTTTTCTCCTTACATACGTCTATTTGTGTCTGCGAACTTACCTCCAGCAGAATTTGCGTTAATATTCCCTTGATCCAAGAAACGCTGCTTGTGACCGGCATCCTTCAGTGCCAATATTTTAACCTTGGCTTTGGTTTGCTTACGCAGACTTTCAATGCCCAAAATATCGGCGACGCATTTCAATTCCAAAGCTTCACTTTTCCCTATGAAACGTGGATCGTCGATGTGGATGCGTAGCTGCATGTTGCTTGTGTAAAGGACGAAGCCCTCTGCGTTGCGTGTGATTTCATTGATTTGCGGTTGAAGGCTGTTCGGTGGTGCCTGTGCGTATACAAAACGTTTAGTTGACATGAATTGAATTGTTTCAATTAAATAAATTTTTATTTCAATTTAATTTATTTAATATTTTTCCAAATTTAAATCAATAATTTTTGGTGTTAAAACATATTAAATAATCATACAAGTGTTAATATTTGCGGTTATTGCTTTACTTTTGTATGTATATGTGTGTATCTGTGTGATGTGTTTGATTTATGTTATTCAATTAATTTAATTAGTCATTTAGTCAATACACTAAACTACAACAAGGAGTCAAGGAGTAAATATAAAATGGTTATGATAAATTGGGCCATTACTTATATTGTTGAGTCTTAAATCTTCTACATAAAGGCTAGGACACAAATAAGGTCCTTGTTTTTGGATGCAACTGATGTTCTTCGTATGCCAACGTCTTCTTCAAATGCTACAAGAGCTAATTAAATAAATTCATTTCCTATAACAAGAAATCTATTTCGAATAGATATGGATTAATACTCATAGTGAGGAAATTTATAAATACAAAAATTCCATGAATACCTGTCTTCAGTACCTTGAAGATGACTATAGAATATAGTCGAAATATCGGAGTAAATAAAATTCTTTTTAAAAACTAATATTTAAAAGAGTGTATTATTAAATAATTAATTAATTAACTAATAAAAATTTTGCTCATTAAAACAATTATTGAATCCAAAAATTTACTATTAAATGGCGTGAATTCTGGGACTACCATATATAATAAGAATGGATAAGTAGGAAAAGACAAGAACAAGAAGAATACATGAACTTAGAGACAAACGGAAAAAATAAAACAAAGAAAACATTTGATTAATAATATAAATATATATAATTTCATTTTATTCATAGAAAAATTTGCTTAAAATTATAAAAAAAATGATTGGTTGCCTTTGGTCTAGGCATGTCCAATAATTAACTAATGACGTTTTGAATTTGTAAATCAGGACTAACTTTTTCAAGATGTTCCTTTAATGTACTTATAGTGGATTTTCAATTTTGTTGCCTTTGGTCTAGGTTTCTTGTCATGTCCAATAATTAACTAATGACATTTTGAATTGGTAAATCAGGACTAACTTTTTCAAGATGTTCCTTTAATGTACTTATAGTGGATTTTCAATTTTGATTGGTAAATCTGTGGCGAAATGTATAATACTCGAGATTAATTTATAAGACTCTATATATTTTGTCAGAGTAGCAAGATAACTCTGAAATTAACAGCTATTTTATATTATTTGACAGACAAAGTTTGACTGGATTTGATATATAATATATTAATTTTAACAATGAAATTTAACCATTAAAAATAAAAATATAAGCAATTAATTCAATTATTATAATAAATGAACTTTAATAAAACTCTAAGTTCGAACATACAAGTCAAGTGCAGTCTTGGCTTAGTTGGCTAATGAACACTGACTCTGAGCTTCAAATTTGGCAGGGCATGGGTTCAACTCTTGCAACTTGCAGTCTCAAAAAATATTACACGATTAATTAAATATAAAATATAATCCCAAATCATACAGGGAAAATTAATCCTCCAGCAGTTACAAGATTTATAAATAGTCTAAAATTGTTTTAGTTGACCCTTTAGGCGCACAATATATCTTTTAGGGCAGGGTGCATTCATAGCTTATTATTTAATAATAATAAATATAAAAAATAATTCCAAGACCACTGATGATAGGTATCTGGCAATACTTGAAACAGCTGTATAATCAGTCAAAAACTCAATTAATTAATAAAATAATAAAATTTTATTGTTGTAATTTAATACTATTTGAATAAACTCTCCATCGAAAACAATAGTTTATATGAAGAATTTAGTTTCTTTCATCAAGACTGAGCTTAAAATTTAAATTATATGTATTTATGAGTGTGTGTGAGTTATAAGTGTGCACTAATACTACTACAAAAATGTTAGACTACTCTGAGAAGGTTCGATTGGGCAACAAAATTAGATGGACTCAGTAAATCTCTTAGTAAATCTAGATTGTATCCAGATGTATCAATGGATGACGTCATAGAAGTACACTACTAAAAATATTAATTTCTTTTAATGTTTTATTTTTGTATATTTTTAAGACTAAAATAAATTTTTAAAATAATTGTAAAATCTGATAATATGTGATATGAAAACACATATCTCTCTTGTCATTACCAGCAATAATAATATTAACTAATAGATTAACGTTGCTCATATGAAATAATATGAAAACCACATGTAAAATCTAAATTAATTTGTCATTTGCAAGTTGCAACCAGTAGTATCTTATCTTGTAAGGGCAACTCGAATGCGGTTTTAATAATCGGTTTGCAGTCCATTATATATATTATACAGCTTGATATGTGTCCGATTGGCTTCAAATAATGGCATTCTATGCATTCCGTAATACTGCAAACATTTGCGGTACTCGCCTTTCATTAGCAGTTGAAATTGTGAAATTGTGTGGCTCTTGGCTGTAACAAAGGATTTTAAATGACTTCAAGCTGAATTGAATAATGCGGTTTACTTGTAATTAAACTCAAATACAATTTTCTTTCGCTTTGCGTTCTAAAGCATAAACGATTTTGTTTTAAAAAAGTAAAAATAATTTTCAAAAATATTCTAAAATAATATCCACATAAACAGCTTTTCAAGAGCTAACGCAAAAGTCTCGTACTCAAGACGTTAAATCCGTCTTAAATCTCTGGTTAAATCTTAACAGAGAAAAACACCAATCCATTTAACAGCAAACGGACTAGCGTCACACATAAGTGCACATAAATGCTCTGATATCGTATTTTGGTCATTTTCCAGCTTAAAATTCTGTTATATGTCCTGTACGTGTATGTCCTGCGTATGTCCTCTTGTATATCTGTGTTTTGTTTTTAAGTGTATTTATTTGTTTGTGTGTTACACTGACTGTGTATGCTTGTTCATTTATTTTAAAATTTACGCATTCCCGCTTATTTTAGTACACATATCACGTACCGTTTTGTTGTTGATGTACCAAGTGAGTGTCGCCGGAGGATTCGACCATTCCGAACTGCAGTTGGCCAGCAGAAAATCACCATATTTGTATGAATGTTTAACACCACTGATGAGCGGATCGAATTTGGGTAGAACTGTAAATACAGAAGCACAAACAAAATTCTCATAAATTAAATTGTCGTATGAGATTGTTTTTCCTTTCATTTATTTTTTTTTATTTTAAGTTGAAGTTTATTTTTATTATCAAATTTTGTTTTTTTTTTTGTAAAATATTTTCTTAACTACAAAGTTAAATGGCTTGTTGGTTTATTTATGTATTTATTTCATTTAGAAAGTTTAGATTCTTTTTTGTGTTGTATTGAAATTTAAAGAATAACAAAAAATAAACAAAAAATTCATACTCAACAAATACATAAATTTTAATTATTATACTATCTCTTCAAAAAATAGATCTATAGTAGAGGAAATTTGGTTCTTGCTACTTACATATTATATTATTCTTTATATACGATAAAGTTCTTTAGATAAGGATAACGAATCCTTACATCACATATACGAATATTAGCAAAGAATTTTTTTTAAGTGAAATGTTTAAGATAAAATTATAAAATCAGTAACGCAAACGATTCACATGGCTTAAACATGTTCAACTGAAAAGAATTAGCTGTGCCAAAATTCTCCATCACCTCTAACCGCTATTCAGAAATGAAAACCTCAATACAAAGAACAGGAAACTGATATATAACCAAATAATTCGTCCATCACTTCTACATGGTTGTGTAGCGTTTAGCAAAGCTTCAAACACTACTATTCACCAGCTAGAAATTGCACAAAGCCAGGCTCTGAGAAGACTTTTCTAAGTATCATGGTACATTAGGACGAACGACATCCTCAGGGACATCAAGATTGATCCCATCAAAAAATACATAAAAGATGGAGCGTTGAAATTATTTGCGAAAACTGACAGACTTACCAACACCGCGTTATAAAATCTCAAAATGGTTACAGGCTCCTCGAGGAAGTATATAGATTAGAGGTTAATTATTGCTTAGTCTGCTGAAGTGATAAACAATAGTGCAGTCAAGGTGTAGAGAGGGGTTTTAAAAATATCTCGAGTTAAAAAAGAGTATAAGTGCTTAAGTGCACTGGCTCAAAACAGCTTAAACATAATAATAATAATACAGATAGTACCAAAGTTTGATTATTAATTGAATTTAAACATATTAGTTTTCACTATATTAGTTTTTTTATTTATTAACCTTCAATAACTCTTTATTTTTAGTCATCAATTAGTCGCAACATATAATATGAAATTATCTGTCAATTAATTTCTAAAGATACTAACGTTCTTCATATCCCTTTGGGTCTATGGCGTAAGTCAAATAGCACCAGCAGCGACCATTACTCATAAAATCGGAAAGCGCACATTAGGAAACACTTAAAATAAGCATCTCCTCTATTTCTTCCTGGCTCTTTCAACAACTCGAACAAAATTCTTTGGATGTATCATTTTTAAAGGGCTGAAAATCGTCCCTGATATTGAAGTGAATTATCTCGTAAAATGCACAAATCGCACATGACGACGTTACATAGAACCTAGTGATATGCTCTTATGACATGAACCTTGTAGAACGTCCATGTAATGGCAACAAAATCAAACTGCGTATAGAGTCACTAAAGAGTCGTATTAATTTTTATTGGATTATGTTAGTTGACTTTAAAATGACTGGCTATCATTATTATCTTCCACATTCGAAGAATGTTGAAATGTTCTAAATATGATTTTAATTTTTCGATACAGTACTTCAGAGATGCAACAAAACTACTTCTTGTTTAAATAATTATTGTCTATTCTTACTTGGATAAAGGCACTACATATCGTATGAGTGATTTTTTTATTGCTTTTGCAAAAACAACGTTACAGTAAACAAATTCTTCTAGTTAATTCTTCTGGCCTTTTTTGTCTTAGAAAAACATTCATCAGCTTCAGCTGTGAATTCTTGTTGCATGTATGAACACTTTTTTTAGATTTTCATTGTTTTTATTGTGAAATCGAAAGTTCAAAACCAAATGTATCTATCGCTGAAGGGAAAAAGCGAAGTAATTTAAGCTGTGCCGGTTAAACAAATGAGCTGGGAAACAAACAATAGGTCTTTTCTAACAGGAACGGGAGCTTCAGTTGTTGGTGAAGTATTGTTTTACATGACACAACGTGGGACTCGTAAAGTGTCATTTAATTCCTTATTGTTTTTGTTTTTGTTTGGCTGTTGTTCACTGCGTTTCGGTCACCAGTGTTTGCTGTTGTGGTTTGGATTTGCTGCCTTTTTCTCATACTGTTTTTACTACTGTTTGTTATGTTTTTCTAACCTTTTATGTGATATTCAAATTTAAATGGAACAAACCGGCAAAGGAGTCTCTTAGGATGTTAAATGATGCTGTTGTTCTTTGGCTGTTGACAGTCCAACATTCTACATGGGAATATTGTGTCAAGTTGATTATAAAACAAAAAAAGGAGAAAATATATAAATGGAGTTACTTTAATTTACAAGGTACAAGTTCTGTTACTTTTGACTTTTACTAAAACTTTTGTTAAAAAACGAGTCCTTTTTCGCTTAAGCATATGTAATGTATATTCAAGCTATGATTTGATACTGATTTCTATAATAGTAATTTGGAAAAAAATTTAGTTTAGTAATTAAGCTAAAAAATAATTTATATTAGATGTTTTAGTTAGATTTTTGATTAGCTTTTTGCAAATAATTGAAATAGTGCACAATATTGATTTTTATGAAATAGAGAAACTTGGATATCGTAATCAATTGGAAACGGATTCTGTGTATGGGAATTTTTCACTATCGTTAACAATAACAAAATATTGGAAAGCTGAATTTAAACGTGGTTCTACGAGTGTTTTTGATGAAAAATGTCTAGGTCGTCCAAAAGAGGTTATAACTTAAAAAAACACTGAAAAAATCAACGATATTAAGTTGAATGATCCAAAAACTAATTTGAAAGAGATAGTAGAGATGACAAACATATCAAATGTTTCATTGACTATTTTACATGCATATGAAACACCACTGATAATGAGTATTTGACAATAATCGAAACAGTGTTGTGTGGTCAACCGAATTACAATAAATTAATTAAAATTTTTGTCTTTGTCTTTTCTTGCTATTCGAATCCGCATAATTATTTGGAAATGTTTATGCACAATCTGGCTGACTATGAGCGACGAGTAGTGATAATTGACGAAACATGGATCTATTACTTCACACCTGAGAGAAAGCAATTAGCCAAAGCATGGGTAGAGCCCAGGGGTAAATGACCACGAACTCAACACTAGGTTGCAAAAGTTTTGGCTTACGTATTTTGAAATTTGAGAGACTATTTGGGAAAAAGAAAAAGAATAACATCGCTTTAATATTATACATTAATGGATCGATTGAACAAGGAAATCAAGAATAAAGGAACATATTTGTCGAAGCAAAAAATGAAAACCAAGGCAAAATAAAATGCAATACGGTAGGAATTGCTTATTATAATAATTATAATAATATAATAATTATAATAATTATAATAATATAATAATATAACAATTATAATAATATTTAAACGAAATTTAAGTTTAATGTTATGGAAATAATTTACTCCTCTTTCTCATTTGAACTTAAACATATTAAGAGGCAAATGGTTTTGAAAATCGAACAATCAAATAAGGATACTAACACTCCAATACAATCGCTCAGTACATTATTTTAAGTGCCTAATTTTTAATTTAATTTATTTTTAATTTTAATAAAAAATTTTCAGCAATTTGTTTAGCTGTCATCTTATGATGAGTTTAAACCAAACAAAAACAAAAAAAAAATAAAAAAAAATTTTATGACAAGGGTTAACATTTGAAATAATCTTCAGAGTTGCCGTCGTGTGCTCTGATATTGAGGTCGTCTCGTGCTTGTTGGTGTGAAAATTTTTTGTCTGCCATTTGTTTCCATTTAATAGGTTGATTGCATTGCATGGAAAGTTTATTGTTCTTAAACTTTGACTTACATTTGAAATGGGTCACAAAAGTCCTTACGAAAGGAAAAAATGTGGTTTGAAGCTAAGTTGACTTGTGTTTGACACCAAGCATAAAGTCAATTAAAAAGTTATAATCAGTATACCTTTTCCTCTGTTTTTTTCTCTTTTTTTGAGGTATTTAATATTTTATTAAGAGATATTTTAATTTCAACTAAAAATATTATGGTTTGTATTTTAATTAAAATAATTAAATATTGTTAGTTTATTATTTAAACGGTTTACTTAATTTTATTTTCACAATTTTATGACAACTTTTTAGGATTTTGATTTTATTTCACATATGTTAAATCCTTATCATTTTACCGAAGCTCACTTAAAGAATATCTTCATAATATTATTTATGGAATCATTTATGGGTTTAATTATAAATAAAACAAACTATAATAATATACGGAAATACAGAATAATTGGTTGGTTTAGGTGGTGTTATGCTGGCAGACCAAAACGGTCACGCATTAAGGTCCATTACGATACCAGATCAGAGTCTTCAGTTTTTAGCGATAGTGTCCATTGCTTAGGATGCGCATATTATAAGTGAATTTTATCAGGATTTCAACAGAAACCAGTAAAACTGACAGCCCCCAAGTATTTTTGTCGAGTTTTCGAGAGAGCTGGATACAAAATAACACATTGTATTTAATATTTGTTATAAATGACTAACTACTTAATTCGGACGAAGTATGAAGTGAATACATAACCTCAAATAAACACATTTAATATCACTTAAAAAATATCTTTAAAATAATTTTCATGTATTTCAAGAATAACGTAATATTTAATATTATTTAAAAATAACTTACTATTTAATTTTCTGAAACTATGAAGTAAATTTAATACTTATTCTGTTAAAACTCCCTTAAAAAGTATCTTTAAAATACTTTTTATGTATTTCTAAAATAATACAATGCATTTAATATTATTTAAAAATGACACTACTTAACTTTGGTAAAGAAAAATGCCATAAAATCATTATTTGAAGAGAATGAAATAATTTTTGAAAAATTTTTGTTGTGAAAGAAAGCATAAAATTATGCGGTATAAATCATTTATGCTATTGACGACATAAGGAGGCCATTTGGAAAATGACATTAAGGAGCGCATCGACAACAATTGATTTGAATTTCGAAAAGAAAATACAGCGCTTTAAATCATTCAATTTCATCATTTCATCCTCTGTCGATGGCACTGGTAACCGACATTACCAACAACCGCTAACGAAGTAAGCCCAGGCCCAGGCACACAGGCACACAGAGCCATGAGACATCAACGTGAAATGTACGAGTATCTGAAGTACGTATTTGTGTTGCACGTGACATCATAAAAGCAGCATGCGACATTTTTGTTGCTGAATTTACTAGAGATTATAAATTGATTCGTACAAAATTCACACAATTGATACGAATTTGTTAAGTAGAAAACGCAGTGCTCAGCATAACAAACAAAAATATCGCATTGTTACTAGATACGGTCTTTGCCATTTGCCATTAGGAAAGTACGAGTATATATACGTACATTGACAGAAAGTGTTGTGTGTTATATGCACTGGCACATTGTATGTAAATGTACATTTTTTTGTAGATGTATGTGTGTATATCTGTGTTGTTGGCGTAGAATTTATTTAATGTCATTATTCATACAAATGGTAAATGCGTGTCACAATTTTTCTGCGTTTATTTTGCGCACTTTGAACTTAGTGCCAGTGCTAGTGCCTCTGTTTGTGCCAATGCCGGTGAATGTGTCAGTGCCTGTACCAGTGCCAGTGCCAGTGCCAGTGCCAGTGCCAGTGTCAGTGTGCCATAACATAGCCACAGACATCACACAGAGATTTGCGTAGATACATTAGGCCACATGCTATGATGGTTGGAACACGAACACATGCATGCACCTGACAAAATGGTGGGCGTGTAGCAAATGTTGCTTGTCAATGATAAATGAATCCGCTTCCGGCTCCTTTGTAAGCGTCACTATTTTCTTGGTTTACTTTTGGAACTCATTTATAATTTTATGAAGCGATTTGTAAATTGAGTTTAATGCATTGTTGCTAATTTTGCTGTTATTGGTGTTCTTGTTGTTGTTGTTGTTGTTGTTGTTGTTGTTGGTAAGCGGATGGATGTCCAAGTTAATGGATCGTAAAGAAGGAGATTTTTGCAACATAGTAGTTACCTTTACATATGAAGTTTATATGTTTTAAAATCTGGCATATGTCACGTATTTCTTAGCACTGATCGGTCTACAATGTTATAAGAAAGGTTTTTACCTTTGGTTATGGAAATATTTAGCAAACAAATAGAGTAGAGTTAACTGACATATATAATTATTGCAGAATTGTTAATATAACAAGAAAAAGATTGTCTTTGATAGTGTCACAAATGCATATTAAGCCGTTTGAAATTTTTCTTAGTTTTATGGATTCTAGAGGCAAACCGCGTGTCCTTAGGAGCGGGTACACAAGATAACGTGTCTGTTTGCATTTAACTTGGCATATGTCAACGTAATCCCTGTCGTCCTTAATTCAAGTTATCGCACAGCCTCGATGTGGCACTACTAGTTCATTAACTTCAGTTCTAAGACTTTGAGTTTGGATTGAGCACAGGATTTGACATCGGTTAAGTAAAATCAGCCCCTAGTAAAGAAAGTAGGAATGTTTTAGATTTTTAGATTCCATAGACTCATGTCTTTTTTATCCGGAGATTTATTTCTAATTAAGCTATATTTTAAAATATCCGTCATTAGAATCAAATAAAAATTTCTCTGTCATTTAAAAATTTGAATATCAACGGTATCTGAACTGAAGCTTATGGTGCACATGGCAGTATATTTCATCTATGTTAACTGCAAAGGGTTCAAGTGAATTACTAAACTAATGTTAGTGGAATACTATTAATTAATTCTAGCTTTTTCTGTTTTGACAATTTATTTAATTTATATAGTTAAAGACAGTCCACTACGAGACGACTACCGCATTAGAATGAACCACGAGCTGTACGAGCTTTATCACGACATTGACGTTATTCAGCGCATTAACATCCAGCGGCTTCGCTGGCTTGGTCATGTCGTGAGAATGGATGAAGACGCTCCGGCGAAAAAGGTGTTTGAAGCAGTAGTTGGCGGAAGAAGACGTAGAGGTAGACCGTGTCTCCGGTGGAGTGATCAAGTTGAGGGAGCACTAACTGGACTTGATATACGAGACTGGAGTAGGCGCGTACGCAGCAGAGGCGCCTGGGGAGACATGCTGCGTCAGGCCGAAACTCGGTAACGGGTTGTTATGGCCACATAAGTAAGTAAGTAAGTTAAAGACAGTATACATCAACATTGAGAGACGTCCGGTAGAAGGAACAAAAAAATTTATTTGTTAAAGATTCCCTTAAAATCCCACCACACAGACACTATTAATTTTTTTAGTTGAATATCGCGTTTTCAAGTGATTTAATTCGGTTCATGTTTTTATTTTATGATCTCTTGTGCTTTATATTGTTGTTGGTAATTTAGTTAACTTATTTTTCATCTCCAGTGATGATGACATTCCAATAGATAACTTTCTTTACGTTTAAGAAAGAAATCATAAATCACGAAAGTAATGCAATGTCAGTAGGGATTGAGTTGAAGAACTCGCATGTGAAGTATATGGGAATAGTACTTAACAATGGCTTTTAAGTGCTAGTGTTATACATACGATTGAAGAAAAAAGTATTTATTTGAGCAATCTACTAAGAGTCAGAAAAGTGTGATTTATTTATTGATAATTATTATTTATTTTTCATCTATTGGTGTCGAGAAAAGAAATCAAATGAGAATATACTGACTAAGTACTCAAAGCACAAATCACTTTTGATACTCAATACAATAAGGAACTAGATGACATCTAAGTAAGATGAACATATAATGTATAATTTGTTCAATATATATTAAAGAGAAATATCTATTGCCATTGCAATTAAAACGTCTCAACGATATTTATATCAATGTATTTGTGCTTAAAATGATATGGAATTATATATAAAATTACTAAATACGATTCGATAAACAAAAAATATTAAGTCAGGAATCGTAATAGGTATTAATAAGATAAGATTATAGATTACAGATATAGATAATAAGAGTATAGGTAATCTTATGATAATTATAGATTAAGCTAATTATGGATTATTATCATATAGGTATTTATTATAATTAATGTTATCATCAATATTTGATATCAAGTTTTAAAGTATATTAATTATAACTTTTTTTTTTCAATAAATATTTAAAAAATCAATTCTTAAAAGTAATTCGAAGTTGTGGTCCATCATACAAAAATAAACCAAATACATTAAATTAAATAAAATTTGTTGTTTTTTTTCATTGTTTACAAGGACATAAATCAAAAAAAAAATGTAAGTCACACAATCAATCCATAATATCATTCTTATTTTATTTTTTCTCTTATACATTATTTATTTATGTACTTTCATTTCATTGCTTTTTTTCATTACCATCGCAGTAACACAGTATCACAATATCACAACAACGGAACACAAACCCAGATACTCATACTTTCACTCACAGTGTATGTATGCTTGTATATACGTGTATGCAGGTCCATAAATATAAATTTACTTGCATATGTCAGAAACTTACTGCCAACTGTTATATTTGCTGTTTTATCAATCAATTTAAATTCGGGCGCATCGCCGGATACTTCGCAACGATATGAGCCTGAGGAGTGTACATTCAATTTCTCGAGTTCAACATTGCACAGGAATTGATTGCAATGTGACGAACCATCTGCAATGGTGACACCTTTGACAGGAAACCAATTTGTTGTCGGCGGGGTTAGTGGCGAATATCTGCAAAGCATAAATGAATTCTTTTTAAATTTCATTTCAAAAAAATAAAAAAAAAAGAAAATAAATAAGTAAAGAATAATCTGTAAGATGAAAAAATATATCTATAAATTGCTAAAAATAAATAAAATCAAAAGTTGAAATTTATTTTATTTTCACAAAAATTAAGTGAAAATATATTTTACTTTAAAATAAAATTTTTGAAATCTACAAATAAATAAATATATATATATATATATATAATTAATATGCATTTAATGGATGGGTATCAAGGGTTAATTAAAAAAGATATTAAACAAAAATATATAAAAAATATCCTGATATCTAAATTTAAAATGTATGTAAATAAAATAAATGTCAATACATCAAATGATAAAATTGAGTGCTGATATTCGTATATATGTTGTTATCTCAGTAATAATTTTAACAATTTCAAAAATAGGTTTGAAAGGAATACTTCAGTTCTTTATTTCAGTTTTTTTTTTTTTGTAAGGCTATTAAAGCATCCTGACCTAAAAGTTCTATTGTGCGCCTCAAGGCCCAACTAGGACAATTTTAGACTATTTATAAATCTTGTAATTGCTGTGGTCTTAATTTTACCTATTTGACTTGGGACTAATATCCCGTTTCCAAGGTAATCGAGTCTACGTCTTGTCACTGCTGAACTGCCCAGCATAGAATATGTTCTGATGTTTCCTTCTCCTCATGACAGAGTCGACAGGAGTCACT